TCTTTCTTTCTTTCTTTCTTTCTTTCTTTCTTTCTTTCTTTCTTTCTTTCTTTTTCTTGTTTTGTTTTGTTTTTTCAAGACAGGGTTTCTCCATGTAGTTTTGGTGTCTGTCCTGGATCTCGCTCATGTAGACCAGCTTGGCCTCAAATTCACAAGAGATCCGCCTGGCTCTGCCTCCCGAGTGCTGGGATTAAGGGCATGTGCCACCGCTGCCCAGCCGAACTTTAGAAGTTTTTAATGAACGTTTAGGAGATGGGTGGTATATTGGTAGGTGGCACTTGGCCTTTGTCAAATCATGGAGGACCTTTAAGGCTATTTCTTCCCGTGACTTTCTTCCCATGTGGTGTAAAAACCACAGTATAAGTGATGTTATGAGGATGTGAAGTCTTGGGGGGGAGGGAGATCCTTTGTTAGCACACAAGTGTGGGAGAAAGCCTGTAACCTTAGTTTCTGATACAGGGGAAACAATGTTAACTGCCTGCCACTTCAAGAATGTTTAACTGGAAAGCCTGCACCCCTGGGCTGCGGATCCACAGCTAGGGTCTTCCAGGGCTTCTTTTTAGAAGGGGTGGAAGAGGCTGGGCAGGGAAAACTGATTGGAGAGGAGCGGGGTGAAGCGCTGGGATTAAAGGTGTGCGCCGCCGCCGCCGCCGCCACCGCCGCCGCCGCCGCCGCCGCCGCCCGGCCGAGCTTTAGAAGTGTTTAATGAACATTTAGGAGATGGGTGGTGCATTGGTAGGTGGTAGGTTCTGACTGTCAGAACTGCTACCTAGGACACAACTGCCGTGTTCCAGGTACCTCGTGTCTAGTCCTTGCCTACCCAGAGTCAGAGGTGCACCGTGGGACAGGGCAGGCGATGTGAAGAGAACCTATCAGGGAAAGAGGTGTGAGACATGTCTGTGGAACGCGGCTTCAGCAGGATGTAGGCGAGCTTCCTCATCTCCAGAGACATCACTGCTCCTACCCTCTCTTGCAGAGCAAACTTCCTCCATTATGTGACACTCCTAGGACCAGGCGATAACTTGGGCTGTTTAACTACTGGGTGCCCCATCTTGATAGCACCAAGGATATTGGCCTTTTCCCTGGGCTGGCCCTGGTAGGCCACAGGGAGAAGTGTCCTTATAACACCATTCCTGTGTTCATTTATGGCTTCACTTTTTATCCTTGGTGGAGCCAGGCCTGGGGACAGACATGAGTAATATGTGGCCACTGCCTTCAAGGAGCTCAAAGTCTGGTGGGAGAGACAGAAGGCAAATAGGCTGTTGGCTCACGGTGACAAGTACCGGGCCAGAAGTGTGCCCCGGAAGGTGGTGGCAGCTGTGACCGGTGGTGCTGGCGCAGGGTAGGCATTCCAGGGAAGAGAAGTCCTGAAGGAATGTAGGTATTAGCTGAGGAGAAGTCAACGAAGGGCATACAACGTTCCATCGCCATAAAAGCAGGGTGGCCGGGGCTGCAGGCGGGTGTTACAGCAGGCGGGAGCAGGTTAGCTCTCGCCAACCTGTCGCAAACTACAGTCCCTGGAAAAAGGGAACTCCAGTTCCGGAATTGCCTCCATCAAACAGGACTATGAGGCATTTTCTTGATTGCTGGTTGATGTGTGAGGGCTCAGCCCATCATGGGCAGTGCCATCCCTGAGCAGGTGATCCTGGGTTGTATAAGAAAGGAGGGTACTGGCTGGGCAGTGGTGGCGCACATCTTTGATCCCAGCACTCAAGAGGCAGAGCCAGGCGGATCTCTGTGAGTTTGAGGCCAGCCTGGTCTACAGAGCGAGATCCAGGCAGGACAGGCACCAAAACTACACAGAGAAAACCTGTCTCAAAGAAGAAGAAAAAAAACCCTTCTAAAACTCACAATCAGAACCCACCGGGTTACTTCCCATCTTGGAGCTGTCCACTCCAAATTCTCTGGAGTGTTTGCTTTCCTTATTTTTGCTAAATACAACTGCTTAAACTATGTATGTCTCTTGATTGAATTCTCTCCCTCAAGACGACAAGAACCAAGAGACCTTGAAACATCTCCCCGGCCAACACTTCCCCATTCCCGGGCTTCCTGTTGCTCCCATCTGTCGGGATGACTCTTCATCTTCTGCCTATTCCTTGGACTGCTTCAAGGAGGCCCTTCTCTTTGGGGCCAGACTGGAGACTTGAAGTTACAGGCTCCAAGACCACCTCACTAGCATACCGTAGCTGTCGATGCAGCGGGCCGCTGGCCGCCCATCCAGCGCCCCCTGGTGGTCAGAATCTTCACCCCGCTCCCCTCCGATCAGTTTGCCTTGCCCGGCCTCGTGCACCCCTTCTAAAAAGGAGCCCTGGAAGACCCTAGCTGTGCATCCGCAGCCTAGGGGTGCAGGTACTCCCCGCAGGCAGCCAGACCGGGGTTCGGGGTATCAGACCACAGTGCCCTTGTCGAGAATGAGCAGCTGCAGTCTAGAAACCTCTCGTTTTGTCCTCAGCCATCCAGGCAAGGCCTGCTAGTCGCCCAGAAGGTGGGTCAATTGACCTTCTGTGTCCTTCAGAGGTATCTCTGAGCCCTCCAGAGTAACTTCCTGAGTCACCGATAGTTGTTGGCCTGAAGTACGGTTGCCTGAAGCCTGGGTGGGGAGAAGGCCCGGTTTCCGGCCCTGCATTGTCTCGTCCAGACCCGTATTATTTTAAGGGCCTGCCTCTGCTTCTGGAGACACCTGGAGGAGGTGAGAAGTCAAGAGTTAGATAGCCTTGAGGTCAGAAAGACCTTTGGCCCATCGGTTTGGTGACTTAAAACAACGCAGATAGTCCGGGACCTCCTCCTTTTAGTCATCCAGGGCCCAGTTTAGAGAAGAATGTTTGGCCTCTGGAGAAGGGAGGAATTTTCTCCCTCCGGCAGTCTCTGCTTGCCCTGGCTCCTTACAGTAAATTTAGAACTCCGGATTCGGAAGTGTAACTTGGGGTTCGTTATGCTGTTCATGGGCCTGAGACACTTCAGTATTTGTGGGCTCCTTATTCCGTTAACAACAATAATAATAATAATAATAATTCTATTTTAGTTGTATGTTAGTATAAAGACAAATGTAATCTAGGCTGGGTTCGTGGTTGAATGTTCGTTATTATATTTATTTTTCTTTCTACTTAAAATCATTTCAAACATCTTCATGATCCCCAGAAATCACAGTGGCCCATAGATAGCTTGTTAATGTGTGGCCCATGTATCCTGTATCGGTAGCACTTGCGCCCCCTGCCGGTAGAAGCAGCAATAACGGGCTCTAGGACCACGGGAAAGCCCAGGTCACTTTCTAAAGAGTTTAGGGGCTTTTTATTCTTATGATGGATGGCCTCTCTGTCATGGAAACCCTCGAAATAGCTAGAACATCCAGAATCCAATCATCCAGCCAACCCTTGACTTGTTAGTTCCAGAATCTAGAGATTTCTCTGACCCTGTGATAAGAGCACACGGGATTGGAGTGGGATTCTATCATTATAAAATTGAATGTCACAGCCAAACTTGGGCACACACCTGTAAATCCCAGCACATGAGAGGATGAGGCAGGAGGACCATGAATTAAAAGTCAGCTAGGGCTACACCATAGGCCTTGTTTTATCATATAACTAGGAATTCAACAGAGAGGTAAACTAAATGAGGGTGGACCCACCAAACTTTGAATGACCCATCTAAAAATTCACGAAAGCGGTCAGCGCCAAAGGCCTCATACCAAGCACTCCCGCTTCATGGAAGCCTTCACTTGGCAGTAAACGAGAACTTTTAAAAATATTTTTCTAATCAACAAATCAGCTCAATCAAAGCATTGGCTCAGCCGCTGGGAAGTTGTGAAAACATCTGTATTTACTGATTAAACTGTTTTAACCACATTAACAGAATCCTTGCATAAAGCACATCAGTCGGTGAAATTTTACAAATTTGTTCTGGATTATTACTTTTACACGTAGAACAAATAAATATTACATTTAAAACTAAAGGGAACTATTGGGCACGTTAAATGATAAAAAGGATTGTTTTTGCATTCCGTGAGTTTCTTAAACTCAAAGAGGGAAATATCAAGTTCCCCCCAAGTGGAGCAAGGTGCACCTGTAAAAGATTAGGAGCGCCCGAGAGTCTTGTTTTACATAAATAGTTGTATTGTATCATGAAATTGTGAAACTTAGCGAACCCAACCACACGGCCTCTTAAGTCCCCGGTTCCCACTTTTTTAAAATGAAAGCTTAAACTAGTAAGTGTTTTTCAAATGTTTCTGGCTACAAAAAAAAAATGCTTTCCCTGGGTGAAACAATCATAGTTAATGGTGACAGCTAATCTTTGTTTTCACGTATCATCTCAATCACCCTCACAGCAGAGTGTAATCGATGTTATTATGTCAAAGCCAGACGAGGTGAACTAAGGAGTCCAGGATAGCACAGCCAAGCAGTGTGCTCTGAATCTCACACTTCAATCCTTCAAAGTCCTCTCTGTGAAGCAGAAGGAGACTTTGCTGAATGGGACAGAGATGAGGGCCACTCAGAGCCACAGGCTGCTTCTATCCAAGAGGCTAAGCTTTAAATAGACCTTTTCCCTTTTGTTAAAAACTGATTTCAACTAAGCTGTACATTTATTAATTAGCCAAGCAACTTCTTGGATTTTCTACCACTGTTATAGCATGATCTTTAAAAAATTTTGTGTTTCTCTTCGATTCCCCCAAATTCATGCAGGGATTCTAAGGAGTCTGCTGACTCCCCTTAAAGACGAAATTCCAAGTAAAAGGCCGCTGGATGCCGGGCGGTGGTGGTGCACACCTTTAATCCCAGCACTCCCATACAGTTTATAAGTGATATAAGCGTCTGAGTGATTATTTTATAAGTGGATTGTGGGACTGCGGGGCTTGGGGAACCTGGAGAGAAGCCCTCCAGCAACAAATGGCGGGAGGCAGAGGCTGGCGGATCTTCGTGAGTTCTAAGCCAGCCTGATCTACAGAGCGAGATCCAGGAAAGGAGCAAAGCTACACGGAGAAACCCTGTCTGAAAAAAAAAAAAAAAAAAAAAAAAAAAAAAAAAAAAAAAAGACAGCTGGAGACGTACACAATAATGTAGCCTGTAGCGTCATCTACTGGTAGATTTGTAGTATTGCAGCCATCTAGGGTTGGCATTGGAAAGTGCAGGTTGGTGCTAAATACTATTGTCTCCTTTGTATGTCAAAGCAACAGAAATTCTTTTCCTGCAGAGAAAGCAGAAAGGCAACCTTGACATCTCCTAGCACGGCCAAAGTGCTAAGTCCTGCTCCAGGTTTTCTATAATTAACTGTACAGACTTGGTAGGTCACTCCATCTCAAGAACCCCATCTTGGGTCATACAGAGAGTCTTTATAATTGTGTTCCTTAAAACACTAAGGTCACTGCCAGGGCCCTCCACAAGAGGCTAGGCTATGGGCTGTGACCTCCTCTCCAGACCCTCATGTAGGCATGTCTTATCTCTTTCACATATAAATTTTTTTGAATAAGGTTCTTTTTCACAAAGAATTCCACACTTCAATAAATTTCACACACACACACATGTAATATATATATATGTATATATATAATACATATATATGTGTATGTGTATAGTTTCTGTCCTACAGGACATGATCAACCCATATCAACATTTACTGCACCTACAACTTTTTAAGCCTCTGCACTAAATCTTTATGAGCTATAAAAGCAGGCGTCCCAGCTGAGAACGTAGATCTTGGTTATAGAATAAAGCAAACACATCATCTACTCATTCCTTAACAATCTCGTCCATCAACTGGGGGATTTTTTTCCCGCCTCCCGTGGGGTCATATCTCTGATTTTATAACAAAAGTCAATGGGGGAGAGAGAGATCTTTTTATAGCCAATCTAGCTGGAAGGCATCCTTGCTCTAAAGCCAGTGTTTCTGAGGTCTCTCGGGGAGGACTCCTGACGGAGCTGAGCTGCTCGGCCGTCACTGTGCAGCAGTGTTCCTTCTCGTGGGAGCTGAATGCAACTGAGAGACTCGTGGGCACCATCTATGGGGCTTAAACAAAGTACATAAGACTCCGGTGTCCCCGCGCAGACGTCCATTCTCTACCACCAAGGGCAGACATGTAAAATATCAGCAAATATTCCGCGATAGTTCATCTTCTCTTACAGACCAGCTCGTTTGATTGTTTTAATATTTCTACCAAAGACTGGGAAGGAATTTACTCTTCAAAGATCCAAATAGGACAACAATCATGTCCTAATTAATATTAATCACTTTCTCTGGTCCTGAGGTTTTTCTAACAACTACAGCCCATTTAATCCTCACAGCATTGCCAGAAAGTACCCTATTTTGTCCCCTTGTTACAGAAAAGGAAACTGAGGCACATCTACTAAATAATCCATTAAGTTATAGTTGACTAGTGTAGACTTTCTGTCCTGGGATAATCTTTAAGAGAGAGGTTAGAACAGCTCCCCCTTCCCACAGATCACGTGTCTTACCTTGGATGTCATTCCGCACCCAGCTGTGGGCTCGGTGACCTTTCAGACAATCAAAGAATCTGCCTTCCACACAATACTTGAACATTGCCTAGCAGCATATGCACTAAGAAGGAAACACAAGAGAGTCAACTTCTTTTGGCATCTCTGATTCGTAGCATCCTGCCCACCATGACTTATTGCAACCAAAAGGAACAGCGTAGAATATTCTGTAACGTTATCAATCAGGTTGTCTTCTTTCCAGATTGGGCCCACTTGGGTGGTCTTACAGGAAAAGTACTGGCAGGTGCCACATTCCAGCAGCTGCAAAGAAATCAGAGTGATTTTATTCCTCCCCTTTCTTCTCCACCCAGGATAGTTCAAGAAACACTGGGTCATCGGGCAGTGGTGGTGCACACCTTTAATCCCAGCACTCAGGAGGCAGAGCCAGGCGGATCTCTGTGGGTTTCAGAGTGAGTTCCAGGAAAGGGGCAAAGCTACACAGAGAAACCCTGTCTCGAAAAACCATAAAAAGAAGAAGAAGAAGAAGAAGAAGAAGAAGAAGAAGAAGAAGAAGAAGAAGAAGAAGAAGAAGAAGAAGAAGAAAGAGAGAGAGAGAGAGAGAGA